AAAAAAAAAAGAAAGTGTGAATAAGTCCTGAGTTCAAACCCCAGTATAGCATAAAAAAAAAAGTAGCAGGTTTAGCTATCTGCAGCATGGAACAGGTTAGGTGCTGCACACAGGAAGTGTTGCCAACTTCTGGCTGGGATGCAGTGTCACACAGTTGCTTCTCTTTATCTGCTAATTGCTAGCCTTCTGTTGTGCAAAATTTTCCAATTTCTATGAGGTCCAATTTGGTTAAGTATTGTTCAAGTCTTCTGACTAGATAATTATATATCTAGTTGTTTTCTTGAATATCGGTAGTGGGATATTAAAATATCCCAGCTTTATTTTTTGAATTAGTGATTTCCCTTTTTAATTCTGTTTTTGCCTCATATATTTTGGGGCTTTTTGGTGTGTACATATTAATAATTGTACATCCTAATATATCGATGTTGCCACAATAAAATGTCCCTCTTGTCACTAGTAATTCTTATCTTCAAACCTATTTTTTGGATGTCAGTAATAACCACTCCAGTTCTCTTCTGGTTACTATTTGCAGGATATATGTTCTCTAAGTTCTCTTTCAACCTATTTGTGCCTTTGAACTGAGTCATTCCTTTAGCCGGCATATGGCTGGATCTTTCTTTAATACCAGTCTGATGATCTGCTTTCTTATTGGAGCATCTTGTCCATTCCATTTGATGTTATTAACTACGTCAATTAACTATTGATGTAGTTACATTTGTCTGCTTATGTGCCACTTATCTTCTTTGCTTACATTTCCCTTTACATCTTTCCTTGTTAGCTGTTCTATCAATTTGTTAGAAGAGAATTGAGCTCTGTAAAACTGTGGTACTGCTTTAACTTGGGGCTTCATGTGTGCTGGGCAGGTGCTCTACCTCTTGAGACGCTCCCAGCTCTTTTTTAGGTAGGGTTTCCTGTTTTTGCCTGGGACTGGCCTTGGACTGTAATCCTCCTTCCTAGGGCTTTCTTAATGTGGAATCACAGGCGTTTGTTGCCACACCTGGCTTATTTGTTGTGATGATGGGTCTTGCTAACTTTTTGCCTGGCTGGCCTGGAACTGCAATCCTTCTGATCTCCATCCACCTCCCTAGTAGCTGGGATTATAGGCAAGAGCCATCATGCCTGCCAGGACAGACAAAAGAAAAAAATGCAACTGTTTATCCTCACATTTACCCTTCTGATGCTCTTCATCCTCTGTAGTTTAAATTACTATGGCATCATTTCCCTTCAACCTGAAAACCTTTTACAGCACACATTTGTGAGCAATGGTTCTGTTTTTATGTTCAAATCATTTCACTGAATATAGAATTCCTGTGGTTCATGTCATGTTTTTCTCTTTTTCTTCCTTTTTTTTTTTTTTTTTTGAGATAGAGCCTCCCTAGTAGCCCAGGCCAGCCACGATCCTCCTGCTTAAGCCTGAGTGCTGGGATTATAGAAGTATACTACCACACCCTGCCTGGTTGAGGTTTTTCAAAAGCCTGGGAGAATTTAAGCAGAGACTATAACCCAGAACAAAACTGAAACCTATGGATCTATACTGCATTAAGCCAATAAATGCCTAAACTGGGTAAAGGGAAAGCTCATGTTTGCAGTGGGATGTCAATCAATACCTATAGGAGGAATTGTGAAAACAGAAAGCCACCATGAGGCAGTTGTGGGAGAGTGGCTCGTTGTGATGGGTGAGGCCTAATGAAGGAATGGACATTAGTATCTCTCCCTGAGTCTCATTCTTTATGGGGCAGGCAGCAGTGAAGAAACCTGGCAGATGCAGTATGGTCAGGTTAACAACCTCATGGAGGAAACAGGTGACTGAGGCTAACAGTCCTGTGGTGAACAGATCAGCTTCCTGTGTCCTGATGTGATGCCCTGAGAAAAGCAGTGGCACTTCTGGGACATTCCTGCCAAGAGAGCATGCCTGGTCTCATGAGGACACTCTGAAAGACCCAGGTTCCAGGTCATACTTCAGAATTTAAGGTCTGTGTTCTTTAAGGACAAGAAACAGAGTCTGAGAGGAAAGTCTGGGGGAGACTGCAGAGACATTACAGCCTGCTATAATTCTTCTTTCTATGAGATTCTTGGCCAGAGAGGAAGGGATGGCAGAGCCACGTGAAGGCTAAGGCTTGGTCTGAACACTGGGTGGTTGTAGAAGGGTGTCTCGTTTTCTTCAGGGGTGCTCAGGCACCAAGTCTGTAATACATGAAAACCAGTGATAATGGGTAGGGGAAAATCTGGCAAAATGCTGACAGTTGGGGAATCTGAATAAGGGAGACATGGAAGTATTTTATAATGGTCTTACATTTTCTGTATGCTTGAAGCATTTTCAAAACAAATTATTTTTAAAGACAAGTTGGATATTTGTCTCAAAGTATAATTCAAGAGAGTCAAAAGAAGTTTGGAAAAAGGTAAACATTGGAAACTGGATAATTCTGCTGTGCAAAAGACAGCATCTAGAGAATGAGAAGACAGTCACAGACTGGAAGAAAATATTTTCAAGAGACATATCTAAGAAAATGAACAACCTAATTAAAAATTGGTCAAAGACCTTATTCACCAAAGATGTACAGCAGCAAGCATTTGGAAAGCTGCTTATATAACATGCCCTCAGGGAACTGTGAAAGAAACACTAGACATGGTCACACGCCTATCAGAACAGTGGAAACCAGACCTCTGATAGCACCAGATGCTGGGGACAATGTGGAGCACCAGGAATTCTTCTTCACTGTTGCTGGGAAACAAAATGGTGTAACTACTTGGAAGAGTTTGGTAGTTTCTTTCAAAACTAATCATGCTCTTACTATATGGTCATATTAATTGTGCTCCTTGGTATCTATCCAAAGAAGATGAAAACTCATGTCTGTATAAAATCTGCAATGGACGTATCTATAGAGGCATTGCTTGTAAGTGCTAAAACTTAGGAAGTAGCTAAGGTGCCCTTCAGCAAATAAAAGGATAAACAATCTGTGGAATATTACTCATCACTGAAAGGAAATTAGTTGTCAAGCCATGAAAAGCCATGAAGAAAACTTAAGTGCTTATTATTAGTGAATGAAGCCCGTCTGAAAAGGCTGCATACATGACTCCAACTGTATGACATGGAAAAGACAAACAACAGAGAGAGCAAAACAATCAGTCATTGCCAGGGACAGAGAGGGATGAACATGCAGAGCACAGAGGGCTGTGAGGGCAGGGAAACTACTCTGCATGATACAATAATGGTGGGTGCGTGTCATTAACATACCCATGTATCCACAGAATGTCCAACACCACGCTGAATCGTAATGTAAATGACGGGCTTGGGGGATGGCGATGTGTCAAGGTAGGTTGATCCACTGCAACAAATGTTCCACTGTGGTGGGAAATGCTGATGATGGGGAAGCTACACATGCGTGCGGTAAGGAGACTATGGGAAATCTCTACGCCTTTGCCTCAGTTTTGCTGTGAACCTAAAACTACTTTAATAGAATAAAATCCTTTAAAAAACCTGATAGGAGAAATAATTTAGGTATTAAAAACTCTCAAAAACAAAACAAAATACCCACCTATGCACAAAAACCTATGCAACAGAAAGGACAATAATAATAGATTTGAGTACATACAGGATTCTTAAACCTATTGAAACCACAATAAGAAGGGGACTAAAGTGGAAAGGAGGAAAACAGAGGGGATGAGCCAATTTGGATTATAATACACACATATATGTACATATACATACATACATATATATACATGTATATATATATATGGAAATGTCACAAAGAAACTCCCTGTATAGCTATCTTCATTTTTAAATAAAAATGGAGAACAGGAAGGCAAACAGGTTCTGTCTGTGGAGCTGGCACAAGTATGATGTGGGAGTGTGAACATGATAGAAATATTACCTACTCATGTATAAATAAGACAGAAAAATGACACCTGTCGAAACTATTCCAGGAATAGGGGGAGGAGGGATAAAGGAGAATGACAGAGGGGATGAATTCAACTGTGATATATTGTAAGAACTCTTGTAAATGTCACAACATACCCCAGTACAATAATAAAAAAGTTATGTTTCTAAAACTGTAAAGTCAAATGCAAAATTTAAGGCAAATTGGGTAAAAGGTCAGTATCTTTCATGTTAAAAACTTCATATATGTAAAGGACAAAGAGCAAAAATAGATAATCCAAAGGAAAAAACAAAAGAGATGAATAAAAATAGAATTGTTAGTAGTCACAGAAATGAAAATCACAATGACTTTCCCTTCAAGATTGGCGAAGAAGAGTCACAGGACAGAGGGTGTGGCTGAGAAGGGTGTCAAGACTCTGCTAGGCCTCTTGTCTGAATGAGAGTAGGGCAGCTCTTCTGTGACCCCTCCTTACACATGGGAAGAGAATAATCTAGAGTTCATGGGTCCTCCGCCCTTCTAGAAACACATGGGAAGGGATAATCCAGCATGCATAAATGTCTATGCACAAACCCATTGAGCCCTGGAAACTGTTTTTATATGGCACTGTCAGTCATCTGGTGGAGATGCAGGAAGGAGCAAGGGGAATAGCTGGGGCTCTGTACGTTCAGTGACACTGTGGGCCAAGGCCATAGACCTGGGGATAACAGCTCCCATACCTGGAGCAGGAGGGGAAACCTCATGCTTCTGGAGGAGGGCTGGGGACAGTGGGGGTCCACATGAGAGAAGCCAGGGCCTGAGCATTCACTGGACCAGAGTCAGCAAGGAAAATGGATCCAAGAGACCCAAGCCAATTACCAGCAAGCAAACCTAGGAACACAACTGTTGACTAAAACCATGAGGAGACAGTAAAAAAGGACTGGCTCCTCCCATGACGCATACACATTTCTTCCTGAAAGGGCTCAAGACTCACCGCTGAGGTGAATGTGCAGCTTCCCAGCTGACTGTTGGAGGGCAACATTTATCTGGATATGTGCTGACGGCTTTGACAAAATATGGTCTTCAGGAAACAAATATTAACTTGTGTGTGGATCTGAGGTAATCTAAGGAACCCGTACTCACCCATGCGTCCATCCTGAGGTGGACTAATCAAAGAGATTCTCGTGGGGCCCGCTGCTACCTCAGGCTAAATATACAAAAGAAAAACAGTTGGTGAAATTCTCAGCTGCCATTTGTGAGGTTCAGACTCTCATGGTTTATTAGAGCCCTGGAGCTCTACCCCACAGTCCCAGCACCTCAGACAAAACCAGCTTGCCCACCACCTGGAGAATGTATCCCAAGGATTGCTAGTTTTACTTCCTCTGCTCCACCAGGGCCTGAAATGATGAATTGGTGCAGGACCCCACTAAGTGTTTTCAACAATGTCAGGAAGGAGGAAGGCAGATGAAGTTCTTGGCTGATGTTAGGAAATGTGAAGTGGTCTGCTTGGGCAGACCACTTGATCAGGCCCTGTTCTGCAACCTCCTCCTAGGGACAGCAGCAAGGCAGGCACTGTCACCATCCCTGCTTGACTCACAGGAGGCTGAAGGCTCAGAGCTGCCTGGCAAGGCTGTGCAGCTAGGTCACAAGCTTCTGCTCGCACACTGGATGTGACTGAGGCATTTTGTGGCCAGTCTGTTCTGGGGTCATTTTTCAGCTATCGCCCACTGCTGGCATTCCTGTTCCAGGCTCCTATCTCCCTCATTGGGGCCCTAGACTCTGCCATCACCAGCAGCATGCCCTTGCTGAAACTTTGGTGCTAACTGCCCGACACACCACCCCACGACCCTTTGATGAAAGGCATCTCCAACCCACTTAGGAAACCCCGTCCCCACTGCCTCTCCACTGGCTTGGGTGGTCCCTACTTCCTTTGTGACATCCTGGATGCTGCCTTGCTGGTCAAACCCTAGAGGATCCAGCCCCCTACCTGAGCTCCAACTCAGGCACCTGATACTCAAGTGGCCTCCATGCTGCCTGCAGGTCACTTTCCCACTGGCATACTCCTCATCTTGGCTTGACTCCTGCACCCTACTCCTATCCTCGTGAAGCTGAGGGTTTCACTCACACCCCACCAAGATGGAGACTGTGGAGTCTGGAGCGTCTCTCCCTGTACCTCAGCTACTGCCTGCGTGCTGTGAACACAGAAGAGTTCTTGCCTCATGGGACAGTCTAGGTTCCTCCTTTCACCTATCATAGTACTCTTATTCCTTGTTTCTGGGTCCTTCCCATAGTTCACTGGAAGTCACCCCACCCCCTTTGAACCATGGTCCATTCAGTCATCCTCCTGTAGAGTGGCTGGCACTTCCACATGTCCCAGTGCCAGCCAGTCCTCCCTCTCCATGGGGCTTACTCTGTGGCCACCCACTGAGTCTAAGGGCCCAGGTTCCTGAGGTTCACTGTGTGCCATGGTATCTCCAACAGACCTGGGCAGTGACTGGATCCACAGGCCAGTCCACAGCTCATACCCCAGCAAACCCTCCAGGTAGTACTCATTCTTGTCCCCTCAGCTCATAGCCCTCATCTCTAACTGTTCTACAGAACACAGTTGGTTATAAGAGCTCATGTGAACTTGAACCAACTGATACATTTGAAACTTCATAGAGAAAAAGACTTGAATGAGGTAAACTATTCTCAGTTGGGTGTGGTCGCACATGCTTATAATCTCAGTTTCTCAGGAGGCCAAGACAGGAGTATCACAAGTTCAAGTAAGTAAGACCTTATCTCAAAATAAAATTAAAAAGTTCTTGAGGTTGTAACTCAGAAGTAAAGTGCTTGCCTAGCATGCATGAGGGCCTGGTTCAACCCCCAATAACACACACATAGAGAGACACAAAAAGGATTGTGATTCTGATTTTTTGGCTTAGTTTTCAAGTCCCCTGTCTGGGGGAAGGCTCCAGTAAAAGTTGAAGCAAAAAGAATTCCAAGAGATTGAGTTCCCAGGATGATGGACCACACCAAGGTAGCTGTTGGGTGGCCCCAGGCTTGGTCTGTGGCAGAGGTCAAATGGACATGCAGGAAGAGACTGCTGAGGTGCCATTGTGTGCACTTGTCATTTTTAGCCATTTGTCTCCAGTCTGGGCTCTGTGGAATAAGGTACACCAGGACTGGGCTGCTTGATACTCTATCCCCTGAGCTTGCCTGGGTGTTGCTGGTTTAAGTAGGAATCTGGGTCTGCATTCAGTGGCACCAGGTTTCAGTGGTCACTCTAGACCTAGGTACAGCTTTTACTCTGACTGTGACAACTGGGACAATACAACAGAGCTCAGGACCACACCACACAGATGGTTCTAGGAATGACACTATAAAGTGAAGAGGCCCAGGGAGAGGGTGCTGTATGTCAGGCTGCATCCTAGAAAGTATACCCTTGAGCACTGAGGTCTTCCTGTGGAAAGCTGGTGTCCCTGGGAAACATGGGAGGACACTAGTCTTCAACTCAGCACAAACTGCCAAGAGCACATTAGGCTTCTCACCTCCTCTTCTCACACGTGCCCCTCAAATATTTCCATAAAGACAGTGGAGCTTGCCTCTCCTACCCTAGAGCCCTCCTCCCCCACTCACGCTTCACCAACACAAACCAACACTGTCTGGTTGTAACCAGCACGCAGAGTGGGCTTGGTGCACAGGATACAGTCAAAGTATATCGTGTCCTCTCCCTGTATTTACACTTGCTTAGTGGAGGGTTTTCCTGGTGAGACCCAGGAAGTTCCTGATGTGAAAATGTGGAAATCCTCTGGGCCTGGGCTGTCTCATGGCTGGCAGATTCTTGTCTATGGGCCACAGTGGCCTCTGCCACACATGTGGGTTAGGAATGATGCTGTCTGTCATTGTGCTTGTCTCCACATCCACATTCCATAAAGCTTCCCATGTATGTTTGCTCTTTGGATTCCCCTTGACACTGGCTTTCCCATTTCCATTTTACTGCTTTCTCCCATGAATGGTTAAATAAAGCACTTAATGTTTGTAAGTCATGATTTACCTTATAGAAAAGATTCGTCAGCACTGGTCAGCTGTACACAGCAGAAAGTCCCACTCTTATTTAAGACTAAAGCTCTGAGCAAAGATCACAGTCAAGGCTCACTCCTCATGCTAGATACTCCTTCTCAGTGCCTCAGTAGGTTAGGACATTCACCTCAAGAGGGGTGTGTAGCCTGCTCTCTTCCAGCCATTAAGTAAGATCCAAGCACAGGTGGGCAATCCAAGAGGTCTCCCCAGAACCTCTGGCTAAGGCTTGGACTCAATGGGAACACCTCTCATTCCATCCCATTATGGGAGGGCACTCTCTCCAAAGAAAGCTCTACAAACATCCACTTCAGGAGTCATAGGAGTCTCAGGAGGAGAAAGGCTTACTTTAGACATATTCCTTAAACTTCACATTGCAGTGTAGCATGGGGCTTGACAAACTAGTCAGCAACCTGTTTTTGTCAATAAAGTTTTACTGGAACATAGCTGCACCCATTCATTTCCATAACATCTGTAGCTGGTTTTAGATCCTGTGGTAGAGGTCAGTAGTGGCAAATGAGAGCATTTGGTCTGAAAAGTTGAAAGTATTTACTATCTGGCCCCTTCCAGATGTTTGCCATCATACGGCCTGGCACCTCACTCTGAAGTTTTATTCAGTGTGTCTGGTATTTCAGCTGTCATATGATGCCCAGTAATATGTAGGTCAACTGAGCCTGTTGTCTTCATTATCACTAAACTAGCTGACTTGCCTGGATCCTAAGGAAAACCAGAACAGGACAGACTTGACAGGAGAGAATCCTTCCTCGTCATGGTGTGGGGAGAAGGAAAGCCATGCTCAAGTACATGTTCACCCCTGAAGTAAGGCTGTGAGTGAAATGAAGCACACATGGAAGTAGGTATTTGGCCTCTGAGCTGAGGTGCACAGCAGGGATCCACGAGCTCCAGTGAAGGGCCTGAGCTTGCCCTGGTGCCCAGGGCAAGGTGGGATGTACACTGGAGGAAGCAAGTATGGACAGGGGTTGCTGGGAAGTGAGTTGGGCAGAGAGGGGTGGCTTGTATTCATAACTCCTGCCAAGAAATTGGGTATCTTCTTTCCAAAGTTGTGGACAGCTCCTCATCCCCTGTTACACAAAGTTGTTCCACCTTCTTACTCTGGAATCCAGGTTCCTCCATAAGTAGGTTCAGGGGACTCCCCTGGAAATGAGCATCACTTCTCATCATTAAGTCCTCACAGTCTTGGAGGACCACTAGGAGGACATCACACTTACAAAGTGCTGAGAACAGTGCTAGTGGTAGGCAGCTCTATGAAAAGTTCTCCTAGTGATACATGAATGAACATGCAGCAAAGAAATGCACTCACTACCATCAGAGCACACACAGCCCTCCTTTCTCCCTCCTGCTGGTCCCAGCCCACCGAGCACCCTAGCTCCTGGAACTCTACCCTTTCTTTGAGAGGCCTAGTATCTGGTGACATGGCACACACAGGAGAACCAGTTCTATCTGGACCAGGCAGATAAGTGACCTGCATGGCACCACCCCGGGTTGTGGCTGTACTTCCTCTGTTGTCTCTTTCCAACTTGCAGCTGTGGCTGTTTCTCAGCCCTCCCATTTCTAAGCTACTTCTTGTCCTGGGCTGACAGAGTTTCTGTTTTTCTCCAGCAGTGTTTTCTGTCTCTTCTCAAGGCTGTGGGTGAGGCGGGGTAGTGGGGGGAACACAGGGTTATGCTCCTGCCTATCCTGCTGGACTTTGCACAGGAGCACAGGATCCAGTGCCTGCTCCATGATGACAGGCCTGGGCATTATGGCAGAATGAATCATTCCTATTCCCATAAAGGTCTTTCAAGACCTAGTTTAGAACCATAACCCTTACCCCCAGGGACCAGAACACAGCCAAGAGCTCCAGTTGAGGTCAGTTCACTGTTAAATAAACAGCTATGTTTATGAGTGCTGAGGACTGCGATAAGGGCTAAACATCCAGTATGTTCTGAGACATGGGCAACACAGTAGCATACCGTACTTACTTTCCTCACTGGAGAAGGAGTAAGGTCAACTTCCATAGATTCCACTCTGTTAAGCAATGAAATATATTAACTGAGCCCGGGACTTTTGTATAATCTAAAAACGCCATTTTAAACACACTTGGATGTAAGGAGACCTTGTGTGAATGTTTTCCCTCCTCTCATGATGCTGTGAGAGCATGGTCAATCACAGATCTGATGGCCTCCTGCACTTAGTAGCTGCCCTGTGAATCAAACAGAGCCTTTTCAGGGTGCAGGAGCTGTGGCCACTCTCCCCCAACCCACTGCTCCTTTAGGAGGGCCCCATCTTCCAGTCAGGTCTCCTGCTGCCCCACCCCTTAGGATTTCCAACTCTTTCCTGGACCTGCTGACTAGATCTCCCTCCAGCAAGAAAATCCACTTCCTTTTGTTACCATATACTGAAAGCCTACATGTTATACCATTCATTAACCCAAAGGTGGAAAGGAAAACACCATTTGGATTTGTTTTTGAGCTGGCCCTCCCCTAGCTTGGCCATCCTAATGGCCTTTTTTTCCCTGACATTTCCAGCAAGAGTCCAGCCTGGGTATAGTACATTCTAATTTTGTGCTGCCTAGGTATCAATTTTAAATATAAGTTTAATGTCCCCAGATCAGAAGCAGAGCTCAGTCATCCTAGACGGTTTCCATCCCTCCACCTCCCCTCCTTCCTCAGTGTGGTTGACCTAGGTATCTGCCATATTCACCTTCCTCCTGATGACACTCCCTAAAGGAAAGCTAGATATAGCCTGCCTGCCTGACCTCGCACCTTGGATTGTGTAGAAATGCCACAGTGACCACCTCTCAGTCACAGTGTGGTCTCCTGGAACTTGTGCTTGCTTGTTCCATACCCGTCAACTAAATCCTCAAGGAAAACCTGTTTGGATGACATCTGGACCCACTATAGGTGCTGGTTTCTCCCTCTGTCTGGTTAACTCTTCATTCCTGCCTCATGAGGCCTGAGGATGGGGGACTGCCCTCCCTGATAGGATCATCATGCCCTGCCTGATAGGATCTGAAGGAAAATCTTTGAATCCATCTCCTGTTGTGGTGGTGTTATGAATGTGCACCCTCCACTAGAAGAACCAGGGTTGCCCGAGGCTGGGCTTCCCCTAGGACACCAGAGAACACAAGTTTGGGCTCCCAGCACAGAGCAATGGTCACCATGAGAGAGACATAGGCCAGACAAGGACTACAAGGACATAGCCATATGTTCTTATAGCCATATGTTTCATATGGAAACAAGCTTTCCATATGAGGATCACTGGTCTAGTGTCAGACAAGTAGGCATTAGGTTATCCACTAGGTAAAAAGAGCACCCCATAAATGCCCACAGCCAGCCCCTTCATTTCTGGGCAGGGTGGAGCTGCCTCTGCTCTGGCTCAGCAACCCCAGCACATAACACTGGCTCACGTGATTATCCTCAACAAATCAGTGGCTGCAAGCATGTGGTGCTCTGATTGGCCATTAAGGATCACACTCCCAATTTGGAGACTTCAGTCTTACAATGATATAAGTACCAAAGGCAGCAGAACCGTTCAATAAATTGTTCATTCTCTAGGTTTGTGAGATTTGGGGGCTTGAAAGGGGGATAGGAAGAGAAATGTAGAAGTGTCCACAGGAAGGACTTGTGGATCCCACAATTTTTATAAACTCTTAGACCATCCCACCAGGCCCACCCACCTGTGAGGGGCTGATGAATTAGGCGGCAACAGGAAATATCCATTTGGCTTTGCTGAAGGAGCAATGATTACAAACATTTTTACTTCAGTGTATATTTAGTGTGATTCAGCAGCCGGTATCTTTGCATTCTTTCTTGCATCACTTTACTTACTTGAAAGTGAATTTTTTACTGAGCTGAAAGCTGTTTGTTGTGATGATCTCATACTAAAGAGATGGAGAAAAGACACTGCATTAAATGATGAAATTTATGTACCACTAATTTATCCCTACTGAAAATATAAGGTAGCATTCAAACAGCCAGCTAATCTTAGTTGTCCTGAAGATGAGCACTCCATTTGAATTTAACCAATCTCCCATTTTCTGCTGGTCCTCTTTCCCTGCCTGGCCCCAACCCAGAAGCAAAGTGAAATCAACACTGCTCACCATGTACATAGCTAACTCTTATGGCTGCAGTTGTTACAACTAGCTACTGGTAGGTAGGGTTAAATGTATGAAATTCAGACACAACAGCAGAAGCTAATAACATATCAAGTTTCAAAGGCCAACAGGAGAAATGGGAACAAGTTGCTCGGTTGTTTTTTTTTTTTTTTTCAGATTCAGCAAAGTACTGGATCTCCATGACTGTAGGCAGCAGAGATGGCTTTGCCTTAGGTCTGATGCCCAGAACCCCAGTTCAGGCCTACTGCCAGCTCCAACTTCCCATCCTGGCAGGGTGCTGTACCTGGATCTTCCTGTCTGCCTCACCATGAGTGGTAGATACACTGGGGTATGCATATGGGCATGGACCAAGCATGTCCATTTTCTCAGACTTATAGGAGGTGTATGAGCAACGATAAGGAGGAGTTATTGCCAGGCTACAAAATGGTATTTGAGATTCAGGAAAAGTCTGTGCCTGACAAACCCAGGCTAGGATCAAAAGAGCTAAGAAAAGGCAATTATGTCACATCTGTGATAAGGCCTATGCTCTAAGGTCATCTACTGGAATGCTTCCTGGCACATGTATCCCCTGTCTCTCACCCAACATCACTTACCCTAACAGCATGTGTTCCTGCTTGATATGTAAGCTCACTTTCTGCCCTCCCTTGAACAGCAACTCCCTGAGGACAGGTACTTGGTACATTTGGCTCGAATGAACTGCCAAGTCCAAATGGTACTGAGAGCACAGAAGGTGCTCCCTAAGGCCCTGCTGAAGGCCTGTGGACCATAGCAGGTAAAATCATCTTTAGCTTCTGCATCTGGCATGGCTATGGCCTAGGTCCTCTGAAGGGTACTCAGCTAACTCCTGCTTCCATGTGCTAGGACACATTTTGTTAGGTCCTGGGCAAATGGGGAGGGTGTCTCCAGGAATCCCTGCTCCACAGAAGACAACAGTAGCAGCCAGCCAGCAGTGCTGACACTCAGTGGAGGCTGTGGATGACTCATCTTCAGGCAGGTGAGTGGGCAGCCCATAGAGGCGTGCAGAGTGAGACCAATCTATGCCAAAGAACAGCAACCCACCAGAGACACACCCTGAGCCAGAGCCAAAGGGAAAAGGCAGATCTGAATTCCTGAAGACGCCAAATATGGAAAGCAAAAAACCTATGTGAAACACCTGAGTAAGAGATGACACAATGAGAAAGCAACTGAGTGAAAGTGAGCAGCAATATTTTAGAAATGGTAAATTAATGGTAAAAACAGAAACTCCATGGAGGACGTTATGTAAGTGTAGTACTAAACAGAGAATCAGAGAGCTTGAAGAAGCAGCCCAATGCTGCTTCTTCAGCTGAGAAGCCAGAAATGGTAACAGGCTGGGAGACATAAGAAGGCAGGAGGAGCAAGTTTGTTTTGTTCCAACCAGAGCAGCAAAGGAGCATGCAAGAAGCAGCATCTTCAAGGACTGTGGCTGGGAATCTTCTAGAAGAAATGAAAGAACATGCCTGCTTAGAAACAAAACATATCACATAGAAGGAGAAAAGACAGAAGTAATTCTACACCTGGATACATAATCTGTCTTTCTCCAAGGACTCTTAAAAGCAGGAGTTTGCAAGCATCTGTGAAAGGAGTGCTAGTGCTGGCCACATAAGGCTCTGGCACTGTGCTCTATGTCTTCTGAAAATGTGAAAGCCACCTTCAGCCTGGGGCCTGGGGTTTGTTGACCCCTGGAATACACACCACTCACAAGACAAGCACATCCCAAATAAAGACATGAAAGAGGCCATTTCTCCCCAAATGGAGGCAAAGGAGAGTGAGGAACAGGACCAGCAGTCACTGTGACAGACATCTACACTCCTGACTCCATGCCCCTTTCAGGTTCCCAACAGACAGACAGGTAGGGTCCACCTACTCCCACAGCAGTGGGAGACAGCTATACCAAAAGGACCATCAACTCCTTGATTTTCAAACTAGTGCACAACCACTCAACTGACTGATTCACAGGGAGAAGCTTAACAGGAAACTCCAACACATCACAAAACCAGAGACATCACTGTACATAAGATGCACCATACTGTGTTATTGATTCCAAATTCCAGGAACATCAAATACAAACAAAGTGCATTCACAACAGCAGCAATACAGTAAAGACACCTAAACGAGAATTTTAAAAGGCGAGAGGAAAAACGGCAGATGAGAAGCATCTCCCGTTTTGATTGTGTGAATGAGAAGAGTCAAGTACACAGAAGAGACTATATTCTGAAGAAAGAAAGGAAGAGTATAAGGAATCACAAAAGGGGTGACAGGACAGCTGAAAGCTATGGAAAAAGAGAAGAGCAAAACAGTACCAAATTATAGACCAATTTCCTTGATAAACCAGACACAAAAATGTTCAAATACTTGCAAAAAGAATTCAACAGCACATTAAAGAGATTACACACCATGATGAAGTTAGTTTCATTCTAGGGCTGCAAGGATGGTTCAATATATGCAAATCAATAAATATAATAAGCACATGAACAGAATCAAGGCCAAAAATCACATGAGCATCTCAACAAATGTAGAAAAAGTCTTTCACAAAATTTAATATCCCTTCATGATAAAATCCTTGAATAAATTAGGTACAGAAAGATGTATTTCAACATAATAAAAATATATTTATCAATATATGATAAACCTACAGCCAAGACTGTCCTAACTAAACAGGGAAAAATTGAAACCATGTCCTGTAAAGTCAGGAACGAGGCAAGGGTATCCACTCTTCCTACTCTTATTCAATACAATGTTTGAATTCTTAACAGAGCAATAAGGCAACAGGAAAAAATAAAAAGGTGCAGACAGGAAAGGAATCAGTCAAATTATCCTTATTTGCAGATGATATGACGTGCCACAGTGGAAAGCAGCATGGAGGTTTCTCAAAAAAACTAAAAATAGAACTACCATTTTATAGCACTCCGGGCATAACTGCACACCCATATTTACCACAGCACTATGCACAATGGCCAAGCTAAAGTATCAGTCTAGGTGCCCATGACCAGTGAATGGATAAAGAAAATGTGTACATATACACAATGGAGCATTATTCAGCCATAAAGAAGAATAAAATTATGTTGTTTGCAGGAAAATGGATGAAACCAGACATGAACATGCTAAGTGAAATAAGCCAGACTGAAATACGAAAGTTACATGTTCTCTCTATCTGTGACATCTAGATGCACACAAAAGAAGAATGCATGCAAAACAGGAACTCTTTGGGGAGTGGAGCCAGTGGGAAGGCTAACAGAGAGGGTGATGGGGGTGCAATTATGACTGAAGTACTTTATACACATGTATGAAAACAGAATGATGGAACAGGTTAAAATTGGTTAAAGGGGGGAGGGAGGACAAGGAATAATAAGAGGGAATGAACTTGATCAAAGTACATTATAAGCATATATGGAAATATCACAATGAAACCTTGTATAATTAATGTATGCAAATCAAAGAGAAAGAAGAACATAAAATAAAAGGCTCAATTTTCCAAACACAGAAAGGTAATACTTTTGGTCACCTCTAGCACCCTGGGAGGTGTCCTCCCACTCACTATGCTCAGACTGAGCATGCTCACTTCCAGCTGGCTGCGATGCCAGGCAGAGGAGGCTGCGGGCTGCAGATTGCAGGCTGGGTCCCACAGTCCTTGGCTGCACACACCACCTGCAACCATGGTCATTCTTGGAGGGGTGGGAGCCTGCTGTCCTTCCAGGCCTCTCCTGCTGCCTCAGGGCTTGAGGGAACCTGCATCTGTTTCACTTCTTTTCTGTTTCCCTTTCCTTCCCTTTGGCTTTTCCACAGCATTTTTTTGTGTGTGTGCTGACAGAAGTTTCAGGTAAACAAAAGTGCCCTTTCCTTAATTCCCTGGTTTCTGACCAAGGTTGTAGCCTCTCTCTGAGCCTCAGAGGGACAGAGAAGGACAACTGTCCTCCTAAGGGGCCCTTACCTTTGCAGCTGCTCTATCTGCAGCACTGACTTCCTGAGGGACTCTTCCAACTGAGAAATCTGAACAGGAAAAACTTTATTATCAGACAGACCATGCCAAGTGGCAGTTTAAACAAACTTTGGCTGTCTAAGTTTCTTTTCTTTTTCTTTTTCTTTTTTTTTTTTTTTGTGGCACTGAAGTTTGAACTCAGGGCTTAAACCTTAAGCTACTTCCCCAGCCCTTTTTTGTGATAGGCTTATTCGAGATTTATTTATAGTTTGAGTGTCCCGTGAACTATTTGCCCAGGGCTGGCTTTGAACCATGATCATCCTGATCTATGCATCCTGAGTAGCTAGGATTTTCAGCGTGAGCCACTGGCGCCCAACATAGCTGTCTAAATTACTTAAGTCAGACATTGCATTAAACCCAGTTCACCAGGTCCTTTCTTCACAGGCACTGGAGTCCAGTGCAGAGCTGAGTCAGGCTCAAGCCCCAGAGACATTCAGTCCAGTCCTCCATAAAACAACACGATACTGAGATGGGTGGGCAGAAGCCCAGAGTGTTTAGCCCTGCCAGGTGCTCCTTAGGGACTCTGGTCTCAAGTCTGAGATACATACTTGTGTACACACAGGTAATTTCAAAGCACAGTCTACAACATGTCAGGGTTTGAACCTGGCTTTGCCGCTTGACACCTGTGAGATTTCAAGGTCGGAACTTAAATTCTCTGATCCTATGGTACTCTCTGTAAAATAGGGTTAGTACTACCTGTCCTCTAGGTTTGCAGGGAGGATCAAAAAGCAACACACAAAATGGCTTAGCCAAGGCTTGGCACAAGGCAAGCAGCCTCCAGGCTGGATTCTGGAAGCTGCCAGGCAGTGAGATGGGGCTGATGTGGGAAAGGATGGAGAGAGCACAGTGGGGTGAGCTTAGTGGGCTGTGCTTAGAACCTGAGTGCTTGCATACCTGCTGCATTCATGCAGAAAAGAGGTAGTAGGCTGGGGAAGGACACTGAACTTAAGGAGGGGCCTGAGCTTTGAGGCCTCAAAGCTGGCTCCTCACTTCATTCACTCCACAACCATTAGAGGTTTTTAGGGGAGAGGTTTTTTTTTTGTCTTTTCTTTTTTGGTGCTGGGATCGAACCCAGGCCTCACACATGCTAGGCAAGCGCTGTACCACCTAGCTACACCCAAGCCCCATTAGAGGTTCTTAAAAAAAACTTTAAAAAATCGACATGAGTGAGCAGAGAAGCCTAGGTGCTGCTCCTATATTCCAGAGGCCTCTGCATCACCTGGGCAGGCGAGGCAGCCCAGGATGCCTGAGTGGGTATCCCTGCGTGGTCCATACCCCAGAGGCTCCTGAGCAGCTGTCAGGCAAACAGGCTGATGGTCAGGAAGAGAATTGACTATGTTTCCATAAGTGGAAACACAAAGGAAAGCAAACCTCACATTTGGTAGCTCACCCACTTTAAGGCCATGAAGTTAGATAATAATCTGACATTTAAATCAAATGGTCAAACAATTTAAATGGCAACAGATCAATTCAATTTACCTTTTCTCTATAGAAAGCCAATAATCTCTTCCTGTGTTTTTCTTGAAATTCTGAAACCTGACAAGAAGACACATGTCAGCTGTTAATGAGACAGGGATTACTGTACATTTCTTACAGACGTGGAAGTTTAGAAGGCACACTGAGTGGAATATAGCACACTGTTTTGTTTTGATTTTCTTCCCATCCTTTTCTTTGGCAGTACTGGGGTTTGAACTTAAGGCCTCCTGCTTGTTAGGCGGGCTTGAGTCATGTCCAGCCAGTACACTCTTCCCCAGTAGACTCCTCTTCCTAGGGACAGACACCAGTTTTGCTGGGCTGGGTGCTGGCTGCTGCCAGTGGCCAGCCACTGCTTGCACAGAGGTTGCAGCAGTGAGGGATGTTGCAGGCTGGTCAAATGCAGATGCAGGTGACTTGCTCATGGTTAAAGTCTCCTAAGTACCATTTGCTCCCCCAGCAGCCTTTCCTGTTGGAGCGGGACAAGCTCCAACAGGATACATGCTTGTATCTTGAGCTGAATACCTGAGACCAGTGTGAGTGAGTGAAGAATAGTCTTCAAGTCACTCGGAGAAAGTCATTTCCTATGACAGTTTCAGAAAATGGTGCCAACCATGTGAGGCAGTGAACTGTCACTGCTTCACCTAATTCTGCCACCTCTCAATGTGAGGTCCACAGGCAACCAGGCTGACTGTGGGTTCAAGTAGAACTTAAAGTTACTTTCCTGTAAATCTTGGCTCACACTTTGCTTCCTCCAGCAATCTACTGATAACAACGGAATGAGCTACATTCTCCCCATGGCTCATCAATCTGGTACAATAGAGGGAGGCTACGCTAAGGAAAGGAACAACCCCCAGCAGATAGGGCCTGAGTTCCCATCAGCTATGAGAGAAGCTATGTCCAGAAACAGGCTGTGTTAGGAGCCTGCCTTCAGGTCAGCACAAATGACACCTTCTTCAGCTTCTGAGCTATGGCTCTGCATTTTTGGCATGACTCAGTCTCCAGGACTCTGAGGAGCCTTGGCTTTTTGAGACAAGCCAGCAACAATAGCCCAAGGGCTGCCCATGCAGACCACAAAGAACAGAAAGAAGAGACTCCTAAGGCCACTCTGCAGGAGTCCTCTTTTCCTTGCTGGTGTCACAGGCCACATACTCAAGCACTTTCCCCCAAGGATGCTGGGAGGTCTCCCATCCTCTTATGTCAGGTGAATACTTGTTTTCACCCCTCAAAGCCCAGCTCCAACGGCCAGTGTCAGAAACTTCTACCTGCCTGCAGGTGGGGTTCTGCAGGTTTGGCTCCCCCCGCAGGATGGTCACCGTAGCAGACGTACCTGCCACTTATCACAGGGGCTAGAATCACACCTGGACTAAGTAAAGCTGTGACCATAGGGGATTTGCTTTTCCTTCCCTTTCTACCTCAGACTTGTATAGGAAAGGCCAGTCAATGCCATCCCACTTCTAGACCTAACGGGCCAGGTGGAACTGGGAGGCATTCTGGCAGCAGACTGATTGCACCTTTAGCAAAGATGAGCCCAAGGGCTGGTGGAGTAGCTAAAGCAGTAGGAGAGCCTGCTTTGCAAGTGTGAGGCCCTGAATTCAAAACCTCAGCCTTGGAAAAAAAAAAAAAAGATGAGCCCAACAGCTACCAGTCTTCTGCATTATTCCTCAGTGGGTCCCACGCCTGTGGGAAGAGGACAGGAAATTTATGTGCTACCCCTAAGCAATGCTAAGGCATTACCATTAGGAACCATGACAGGGACAGGCTTTTCTGCAGTATGTGGTATCTTTACCAGGCAGAGTGAGAGCTGCTGACATGCTAGGCACTGGGGTCTAGCAAGGCCTGTTGATGGGGGATACTACTCTTCTTCTGGCAGGGTGGTTTTTAGATAACTAGGACCTGGTGGGTAGCATGCAAGCCTCTGTGGCTTGCCCTGTCCCATTCAAGTCAGATGCTGATTTCACAAGGCAAGTGTGTCTGCAGCAAGGAGGGGGCTGCAGGAGAGGCATCTTTGGATCCCAGAAAGCTCACCAAGGGGAGGGGATGAGCTTGGGCTTCTGGGGAGGAGGGAGATAAGCTGCCAATGGGTCTAGTCCTTGGAGTGTTGAGTCCAAAGGACCCTCTTGTGAATGTGGGGGCAGCCCAGACCCCCATTTCCATGTGGCTGGGTCTTTTGTCCTACAAACTCAAGCTGTCCCTAGTTTCTCTGGCCTGAACTCCAGCAAGGTGTTATGCTCCAGAGACTAGAGATGCTGGCTATGACCTCTTCTGAGAAGACTTTATTAATAAAACAAAATGAAAAAGAACTGTGAAGGCTGGGCATGGTGGCTTATACCTATAATCCCAGCCCTTATGAGGCTCAGGCAGAAGGATCATCAGTTCCAGGCCAGCCTAGGTTACATGGTGAGACTCTCAAAAAAACAAAAATAAGTTGGGCCCTGGTGGCTCACGCCTGCAGTCCTAGCTACTCAGGAGGCAGAGATCAGGAAGATCGCAGTTCAAAGATAGTTTGGGAAAATAATTTGTGAGACCCTATTTTGAAAATATCTAACAACACAAAAATGGCTGAGTTTGAGCCCTGGTACTGCAAGAAAAAAAAAAAAACAAACATCCAAAACAAAAAGGAACTATTAGTCTTTATCTTGCAAAAAATGTGCCTCTTGGATTGGGACAGAGGATTGGAACAACCCAAGAGCTGAGAAAGCACCATGCTGGACCAGGTCTGCTCAGACACTAGGAGAGCTGCCCAGGCCTCACACAACTTTGTCCTCAGCCCAACTGGTGAGAGAACCAGAGAGCAAAGGCCATGAGACAAAACAGGCTGAAGATCAGTTTCCCCAAGTGCATCTCAAATTCTTGGAGCAGCACAGTGGCAAGGTATTTTGTGTGAAGGGTCTGGAGTAACAGCTGCTCTGGCCAAACATTTATTTATTTCATTTATTTATTTCCTTGCTGTGGCCTCTGCACACTAACCTGTTCCTGCTTTTACTGGGGCTAGCACCTGACTGGCAGACTGAGCACTGACCAGCCCTTCTTGGGGCAGAGGCTGTGCAGACAGGAGGGGATCCCAAAGTCATCAGAAAAGAAGGTGTCTCATTGTTAAGAAGGAGGTCAGTAACTGACAGGGCCAAAGACCTCAGCTGGTCCTTGCTGAGATGGCTTTCTGAGGCTGTCCTGGGGCAGATCCCTGGGCCTGGGCCAGCAATGCTAAGAGTTTTGGTCTAGGCCAGCTGTGCCTTTTTAAAGTTACTGAGGACTCCAAAGAGATCTGGTCCATGTGGGTTTCAACTGTCAACATTTACCCTATTAAAAATGGAGACAGGCAGAATATTAAAATATTAATTCATTTAAAAATAACCCATTGTGTTAATATAAATAACAAGCTGCACCATCATATTGCATATCCTCTGGAAACTCCACCCCATGCTGGTTTCTTGTAGGGCTGGGGACAGACGCCAGGGCCTTGCACATGCCAGAAAATGCTCCACCACTGAACCACATGCTGACTTAGTCCATGAGGCAGTTTCACCCACAAGTGGAGATAATTGGGCAGAGCCTGCATTGTCCTGGGCTGGGGCCGACAGGCTCTGCGTTCCTGGCAGATACGACAAGACAGGAATGGTGTGCTGTCTACTCTCCTGAGAGGTCCCAGCCTCTGTGGAGGCTCCTCTGTGGTTTTGATACCTGCAACAGCCTTTGTGTTTTACAAACTCAGGTGACTTTGGGCCATGAAGGCTCTTGGCCTGAGTGTGAGTCCTATTGGATAGAACAGAGAAGCTATGCAAGTATGTTCTGGTTTGGTGCTCCCTTTTTGCCCACCCTCTGTTCTGGGGCCTCTTTAGCTGACGCTTGGTTTCTGTGTGTCCAGCCTCTGGTGCTTCCTTGGAAGATGAGGTTAGGCACTGTCTGAGATAGGAACTGTGCTGGTTCAGCCCTAGTGCTCTGACAGTTCAGACATTACTGTGGACAACAGCTTCCCAGAGAGGGCAAGGAGGTGGTGGAGCCCTGGTTGGCCATAACCTGAACATGAGCGCCAACAGCCAGGAAGAACATTGCTGGATCAGTAGGGTAGGCACATACTCTTCCTAGGCTTCTGCTTCAGGTGGAGCCTCTTCCCCTTGGGGAACGTGGGAGGTGGCCAACAGCGAAAGCTGCATAGTTAACAGAAAGCGGACAGGAGGGATGGGCTAGGGACTAGAGGAGAGCCCCATTCATGGACAGCCTTCCCTGAAAACCAGTTGTCCAATGGTTTCCAGGAGGTAAAATATGTGACATGGGACCTATGGTTAGGCACCACGGATGCTGACACAAGGCACTAGAGGCTGAGAGTGGGAGAGACCACCATAAGTACAGGCAGCACCGTGTGGCACATGATGCATGTGCTGGTGGGGACAAGGGTAGGAAGAAACAGGCAAAGAGAGGAGAAGCTAGCAGAGAACTAGGTCTCCCAGGAGTCAGGGAGAGTGCATCAGGAAAGCAGGAGTCTTTGGAGCCACATGCCACCATGACAGGAACTAAGCAGGGATATGTAGTCCTGGGCAACCATACGCAACGATCAGCTTCAAAAGAAACCTGCTGCCCTGAATTGAAAGCCTGACCCAAGCAGGAGTTTATTTCCAAGCCTGAGATTCTTAGGGTCATAACTATGAATACCAGTGGGGCATCCTGCCCAAAGGAGCCCAAAGCTGAGTGGAGCTCACATGTGTCTCAATGTCACAGCAAAGCATAAACAACAACAACAAAACACATCACATGGATAATGTCACAGCTGAAAACTTTTATGCAGTAAATGCTTACCACTGAGAAGATGAAAAGAACTCATGGAGGGCAGAAAATCTTTGCCCACCCCACATCTCCAAGAGACTGGCCTCCAAACCACACAGATTGCAGAACCTCTAAAATGTGTGCTCTGGGCATCACAGAGCCAAGTCTCAATGCCACTACTCACCTGGGAGGTCTCCTTGGAGTACTTCTTACACAGACCATCTATGCGCATAAAGAACGTCTGGATATCAGAGTCGGTCTGAAGAGAAAGCAAATGACTCTACATTTATTGATTCTAATAAAGGCAAAAAGGGAGAGGTAACATTTTTTCAGACAAATAAGAACTGAGAATCAGCACTAAAAGAAATAATAAAAGGAATTTGAGAGGACTTGTCACCAAAAGATTGCACCAAGAGAAGTAATAAAAGGAACTCTCTGCAGGTAGGAAATGATCCCTGATGGAAACAGAGTTCAGGAGGCAGCAGGGAGCAGGGGAGAAGCTACAGGCAGCAGTGTGGAGTTGTGAGTTAGCACACAGCGAGAATCTATATATTGTCAGAGGAGGAGCAAGAAAGTGAGAGGTGAACCAAGAGAAAGAACCCTGCAGTCCCTGCACCACTAGGAAAACCCAATTTATATCATTCTCTAAAAGGTCAACATTACCTATTGTAATATCTGGCATAATCGCTGTCTTAAACCATACTGTGTTATCACAATGAAGATCAAAACCTGTATAATTTATGAAATACAGAAGAAATTTCTCACATTGCTGGAGCAAGGAAGTCTACCATCCAGTGCTGGCTTTTGGCAAGTGTCAACCCATGATGGAAGGGCAGAAGGGGACTCACAGCCTTAAGCTGCCTAAAATTTACACTGTCCATCCACGGAGTGGAGCCTCATGACCTAAACCTTCCACCAGGCCTACATCCCAACACTGCTGATGAAGGGGAATTAAGCTTCCCACCACATGTAACATTGCAAACCACTGCAGTCATAAACTAACGTCTTCTTGATCTAAGTGTTGGCTATGTTCTGATCATGAAAACCTCATTTTGGACTTTCCTATGTGTTAAGCGTCAATAAAGTTAATATAAATAACTAAAAATTCTCAAATATTTGGAAGCTAACCAATATATTTCTGTGTAACACATTAAGTCATAGAAGAAACCTTTCAAAACTGAAAGATGATAAAACTACAATAGCTAGATACATATAACGCAGGCAAAGATGAACACAAAGGGAAAGTTATAACGGTACTAATGTAAACATTAGAAAGGAAAGGTTGGAAATTGGTGCTAAGTACCTATTGTAAAGAACAAGAAAAGAGGAAATGAAGCCAGACATGATATAAGCCTGTAATCATAGCACTCTGGAGCCTGAGGCAGAAGGCTAGAGTTCAAGGCCAGCCTGGCCTACATATTGACATCGTGTCCCAAAAACACAAAAGAGGAAATGATAAATTAGCAAAACAGAAAAAAACTAAGATCAATAGAACAAAAATTAGTTTTCTGAAAATACTAATAGTAACCAATAATTAGTAAGACTGGTCAAGAAGTCACAATACCATTGTTGAAATGAAAAAAAAATTACAGATCTTACAGACATTAAAAAGGATCATAAATACATTGATAAGAAAATTTAACATTAGGTGAAGTACACAAATTCCTAGAAAAACACAGCTTACTTAAATTGACCCAAGAAGAGTCAGGAATTTTGGATAGTCCCATACCTAATAAAGAAATCAAATTCCTAGACAAAAGGCTTCCCACAAAATCCCTTACAGGACCAAATATTATAACTCCTGAATTCTACCACACCATTAGAGAAATAAAACTAAATTACAAAAAATTTTCAGAGAAAAGAAAAAGAAAATCAGTTTTAACTCCTTTTCTGAGGTCACATTAACTATTATCTATCAAACTTGAAAATGGCATCACAAGAAAGGAAAATGACAAGTCTAGCATTCACATGAACACAAGTACGCAAAGTCCCAAAGTCGTGCCAGGTGAAGGAGCATGAAGAGGGTGCACTACCTAGGCTGCTGGGCCTTTTATCACTACAGATAGAACTATATCACCTGGAGTTCAAAAGCAACCGGCAGCTTCTCCATCCCATGGGGCTTCCATCTCCTTACCATCGCCATTGCTTTCCATTTCTGCTTGAAAACCAGCCATGCCCATCCTGAATTCATCTGTTCTTGTGGCTCCTCAGGAAGGCAAATTCACAGTCACATCCCTCTAATCTGCACTTGCCAGAAGCGTCTGGCTTTTCCCCAAGGCTTAGCTGCCCTCCTGCATCCCACAGGCATCTGACCAATATAACAGTGGAATTCTATTTCATGTGTGCAACAGCAATGGCCTACTTCAATGACAAATAAATTGACATATAAATATATATCAGCTGTTAAGGGACAGAGCCAGGGTCACTTTTTGTATAGACAGACATTAGTCTGTCACACTGGTTTGTTTTAAAGAAAGAGATCAGAATAGAAACCATCAGTGGGCACTACACTTAGTGAAGAAAAACACCATTTTTTGAATGGTGTTCCTGGGCAGCACACACAAATGCACATACACTGTGTGTGCCACATTACCCATCCCTTCCTTCTGCAAGTCATAATCAAAGAAGCCACCATCCCAAAGAAGCTGGGATGGCCTCCCAAGGAGCTGACACTCCAGAGACCTAATGTGAAAGTTGTGGGGTGGAGCCTGTGCTGAGAGCACACCCCAGTAAGAGGCAGCAGAAAGGTCAGGCACAAGGTAGAAGCGCCTGGCTGCGTGGCTACAGGAGTGGTAGCAGGTCAGGGCTGCCAGCCTTGGGTCAGGAGACTGAGAGAGACCAGGCCACAGAGCCTCCAGGCATGAGGGGCCTTTGGGTTTCACTCTTGGACTTTGGGATTCAGGGAGGTACAATCTGACCTATATCCAAGCAGATGCCACTGGCTGCAGAATAGAGAGCAGGAAGGACTAGCAGCTCTGGTGAGGTGGAGCATCAGGCAAGGAAGATGTGGGTTCAGAAGAGACTGCTAAGGGAGAAGCCCACCATCTGCGGGCTGATGGCTTAGAATGTGGGTGTGAGAAAAAGAGCAGCAGGAATGACCTTGATGCTTTCAACAGCTTCACTCACTCACTCACACAGAAAAGACAAGCACCCACAGAACATTAACAATCACCATGTATTAAAACATAATGTGGCCGGGAGCTGGAGACTCATGCCTGTAATCCTAGCTACTCAGGGGGCAGAAATCAGGAGAATTGCAGTTCAAAGTCAGCCTGTGCAAATAAATACTTCATGAGACCCTATCTTGAAAATACTCAACACAAAAAAAGGGCTGGTGAAGTGGCTCAAGTGGTACCGTGTGCCTGCCTAGCAAGTGTGAAGCCCTGAATTCCAATTTGAGTACCACCAAAACAAAAATCCTGGTAACTAAAAAAGATACCATACAGTCTCTGGTTTCGGTGCCATTAAAACTAAAAATTAAGCACAGAAATGATAAAATCTACCAACTTAGAAATTAAAGAATATTAATTCAACTAATTCTTGAATTAGAAAAGAAGAACAGATTACAGCTTATTTAGAAACAATTCAGTATATTCATAGCTGAGATACATAGAGAACCCCTGTGAACACTGACTTTAGAACTAAAAATGAAGGGTAGGACTGTAAAATAGGTCCTGTGAGGAGGCAGGTACTTGTGGGAAGGAGAAGGGTAAAGAGAGGGGATAATGGAAGGTGAACATGGCGATGCACTTTATATGCTTATATGAAATAGAACAATGAAATCTTTTGCAATTGTTTTAGGTAAGGGGAGGGAGATAAGGGAGAAAGATGGTAGGGGTGAACCTAATCAATGTACAATGTAAGCATATTTAGAAATGTCACAATGAATCCCCCTGTACAATGAATGTATAATAAAATGCTTTGAGAAATACTAATAAAATAATAAAAACAAAAGCAAACAAAAAATGATTCAGAAAAGTGGTACTCAAAGTAATACAATCCACAATGTGCAGAAGGAACAGGTGGTCCTAAATACATCTACTAGGAATTTATGCCACAAAATACTCTTATAAAGTGTGGAGAGAGATTGGTAAACCTGTTCAGTGTAAGGTTTTTTGGCTCATCAAAAGAAAAACACTGAAATATTATGCAGCCATTTAAAAAGAGTGTACCCAATACATAATATCAATTGGGAAAGCATTTTTATAAAGAAATAAATCACAAACACACCCAGAACAGGTACCAAACCCCTGAATGTTTTCATGATTGGGAAATAGGATCTGGGGGATTTCCATAATCTCTAATACGGTTTTCTATATTGTTTGAATTTTTGTGCTAATTTTGTAATTTATTTGTAATAAAAATTATGATGCTTTAAAATATTGGTTCAAATACACGTTTTGGAGGGCAGATATAGAAAAGAACAATCATTTGAAGCTTAAGTTCATGCCAAAGAACAAGTTAATCTAACACATTTTACAGAAGAACCAAAGGCACTAGTTTGAGCCAGCTGCAGCAATAACTGATTTTAAACATACATCATGAAAAACCCTCTTAATTACACATACGATGTCTATGAAAAACCAAACTGTCACCCTCTTTAAGAGCTGGCGGTGTGCTAAAGAAGTCTTTATAACACATTTCATTTGCAGGAACATGGCACAACCAACAAACTGTGAATAAGGTCAATCTATGACTAAGAAAGAAAGTTACAGTGAGGTTTTGAAAATCAAATCCTAATTGCACTTTGGTTATGTGGAAGTCTTACAGGCTCTATTTAATCTAGCAAAATGAATGAAAATTTTAGCTACCACAATGACTAAACTTTAACCTGCAATTAAAGGGAACTATGACTGTGATTAATATTCAAATTCTACAGATTTCAACTTACATGTTTTGAGAGTAAAACTGTACGACAAGGAACTTTACAAATCAAGCATTCATCCTTTTTACCTATAAAATAAAAACAAATTTAATTATGTTATACTGGCCAGTGCTTTTGAATATGTATGACCACAGACCTTAAATTGCTGCGGCTGGGGATGTAGCTTGGTGGTAGAGTGGTGGTGTGGATGTGCAAGATCTTGGGTTCAATCCTCAGCACTACAAAAAAAAATAACTGCAATGCTTCTTCAAGAAGTATGCAGGGTTACAGCACCTCAATTATTTATGTTCAGACAGGAGATGAGGCTGTGAGTGTGGATACAGGTGGACAATATACAAGGAATTCTTTTGCAAATATTCCCCAAGACAGAGATTGTGAAGACCAACAATATTGATTATAAATAGATTTTACCATGGCCGTGTGTGTGTGTGTGTGTGTGTGTGTGAGTGTGTGTGTGTGAGTGTGTGTGTAGATGGGGCTGGGGATTGAACTCAAGGCTAACACATGCTAGGCAAGCACTCTACCACTAAGCTAATCACAAGCCTTTTTTAAAACTGTATTTTTGATACAGGGTCTTGCTAAGTTGTCCAGGTTGGCCTTTACCTTTCAATCCTTCTGCCTTAGCTGCCCCTGTAACTGGGATTATAAGCAGGTGCTACCATGACTGGCTTACAGTGGTATCTTAATTAAAAATTTTAACTATTTACAATGAAAATAGATCTTCCAACCCCACCTGAAAGATGAGTTCTGGTCACCTCTACAATACTATAGAAGGAGTCACACATCGTGAAAGACCACTCCTCTGCTCACTAGGTACATAACTTATTGAGTCTCTGCTATCTGTGAGCCAGTTTTGGGCCAAAGCATAAAAGGTTAATATGCTTGTCTACTAATATTCCACTAACTCATCTTCAAGCTCTAAGTCTCTGCCACAGTTCTAGAGTGATTCTGGCCCAGTGTCACCACCTTCCTCTCCATGAAATTCTAATCACTATTTGGAAAACCTGGACTCTAGTGGGTACTCTCAGCATTAGTGGCTGCTCTCAGCTAAGCTTGCTATTCCCCACTCACACCCCACAAAGATGTACCATGCCCCATGGCAGCAACTCTGTGTGACCATGCTATCGACGTCCACAGCACCCAGTGTAAAATGAAGGACTCATTCCTACATTTAGCTCCCTCCCTGAGAGCAGGAAAGGCCTGGCACCCTGGCCTGCCACTTAAACCCTTCAGTGTCCTTTATTTACTAGGCAGTTTGGAGCCCAGGACCGACCTGTCACTGTCATTGCCTCCATACCCCTTTTCCTTCAGGGAGTACACTCAACCCAAAACTGGACAAGTTCAACTGCTATTCCTCTCCTCTTCCGATCCAATGCAGCCAAGAACTGGGGAAAATTCACTGAAGAGGTAGAGTCACAGGTGTTCTAGTGGTCTGCAACACTGATGGGCAATCCTTCTTGCTTTTCTTGGGTGTTTTACCCTCCTGAATCCATGTGGGGATATTCAAACAAGGAACCTCATATCATCTACTGGGAAAAAAGAAGCTCTACTCATGACCTACCTTGACCTTCCTGCCCTCTCCTCTAACTTACCTAGCAAGGAATAACCCAGCTCACTCTTCCTCCTTCCCTTCTGTCTCAGATGGGTGTCTCCTCCCAAGTCTGTGTGGTCAGGCTCATCTCAGAGCCCACAGCATCTTGCACAGAGGTGCAGCCTGGTGTAGAATGAGTGGTCACCTTCTAACAGCCTCCAGAATGGCCTCCTTCCCTCTTTTCTTACAAACACATTCAAGTTGCTCCCCTCCTAAGAACATCCACTCTCCACAGCACGTTCCCATCCCTCTGTTTTTCTCTCTTTCACTGAAGATTCTTGAGGGAGGAAAATCCCTTTTGTATCATCAAAGTCAGAAAATACACAGTGAGTGATTGCAAAGCTGACTCATAAAAACCTGAGTGTTCATGGGGAAAGAGGATTGAGAGGTGGACAGAGAAGAAGTAACTTGCAGCTCACTGACAGACAAAATGCTTGATATTTAATATATGAATAGTACTTACAAGTCAACTAAAAAGAAACACTCCAAATAAAAGGCTGTGAGGGGACCCAAATGAGCAACAAGAAGAAATGAAAATAGCCAATAAATGTATGAAAAGAAAATCCAGGCTACTAATGAGATATACAAAACTAGGGAGGACACATCAACACTGAATCTAAATGGCACAGTCTCTCTGGAGGGCAGTTTGGTCCACTTTAATGTGCATACCCAAATTTAGCAATTCCTCCCTTAGAAATGTATTTCAAAGGAAAAAAGTGAACAAGAGGTGTTTAATAGCCAAATGTCATAAAATGTGTCTTTCAGTAAGGAAAGTAACAGTAACTAAAGTATATTTTGCATAAAATGATGATACAGACTCATTTTAACAGGAGAGGTCCATGTCCTAGCAGGCAATAAAAAGAATGCCAATGGTAAACATATCATATCATTTTGTTTTTTAAAAAAAAAATTGCATCTACTGGAAGGATACATACCAGAGCTTAAGGGGGACTTACGGGCAATGGATTACCGGATAGCTAAGTCAGGACTCAGAACCCCCGACCCTTTCTCCAATTTTTTGTGTGTCCCTAGATTTGATATACCTCTAACACGCAGAATCTGTGGCTTTTTGGAAGGATGAGCTCAAGCTACCAGAACCACTGTTTGGCTCAGGTTTCAAAAGCCAGCACTACCACATCCTGCACAGGCTCTATGCCAGTCACTTGCCAACACTGGGTCTTGCTGGCCTCAAAAGATGTAAGTAACACTCTTAACTCCCAACACCATGTCTCCATTGTTCTCACGTTATCTTAGGTCATAAGGGACCTCTGCCACTAATCCAATCGATAATGTCAAACACTGATCCTTTGGGCTCATTGGGAAGTCTAGTTTATTGACACCTCTACTTTCGTCTTCATACATATTTTTCTCCCATTTTCACTTACTTTCTTCAAACCACACTCTTTCCAAGACATTTTCTAGCCATTGCCCTTTTGATGCTCTCTACATTTCAGTATCTGCAATTATTATCACCACGTTATCAACTCTCCTAATATAGTCCTGGCTCTCTTGCATTCCAGACCCACACACATAACCGTCTCCTCCCTGTACAGCTCTCACAGGACACAGTGTCCAATGTGAGCTCACAAGTTTTTCATTGTCCAGCAGGGAAAACACTGTCTAGTTCCCTACCTTCCTTAACTCACTTTTGCTGAATCTCCCTAACCTCTCTCAAACCCATCACTTCTCTTTATCCTCTGGCCCCATCCCATCCCCATTACCTCTCACATACTCCACTGTACAGCTTTTCCATGAAATCTCACTCCAGACTACTTTTCATTCAGCAGCCAGACTTCCATTTCAAAGCTGAAACTCAGCAACTCTACTCCTGGTCGTTCACCCATCACAGATGTGAACCTGTGCTCACCAAAGACATTGCACGAGCATTCACAGTAGCACCATCTGTCACAGACAAATCTGGGGACAACCCAGATGCTGGTCAGTCCAACTGAGGAGTAAGTTGGGGTGTGGTTACACAGCTGTGGCACTGGACGCACTACTGCTGGCTGGCAGAGGGCTCTAAACGCTAAGGCTGGGCCAAGAGAAACGAGAGCCTCTAGGGGCTGGTGATGCACCTGTCCCTTCGCTCCTGAGCAGATTCATAGGTAGGCACCGCATTTGGTCCTTATGCGTTCCTTCAACCAAAAACGATCCTCACGTCTCGGGTTCTCTGGACGCTCCGGTTGCCGCAGAGCAGCTTTTAACCACGCACGGGACTCCAACAGGCCAGGGATCCTGCAGCAGTCATCAACCTACACTCACTTGCCCGGGGAAGGGGGTGCCCGCACATCCAGCGCCCTCCGCAGCAGGCCACCTCCCCCCATGGACACCACGCTCCTACTGCGGACACCCCTTCCCCTGGGAACACGCCTCACCCCACCCACGGGTAACCCCTTCCCAGGTAGATGCCCCGTCCTCCGTGAGCACGCCCCAGCACCCATGGACATCCCCCTCCCCCGTGGACACTCAGTTCCTCCTCACCACGCAGGCGCCCCGCCCGCCCCGCCCTGACCTTTGCCAAGGCAAACGTCGCAGAACACGTGCCCGCAGTTGGTCAGGCTGAAGGACGACTTCCTGCACGGTGACTGGAAGCAGCGGTTACAGAACACCAAGCTGTCCATGTCGGGGTGGTCCGCGATAGCTCGCCCACAAGAGGCCCACGCAGCCCACGCGAGGCTCAAGACGCAGGGACACCCCTTCTGGCAGGGTGCGACGGCGGAGCGGCAGCTCTGCGCCTGCGCGGCCCCGCCCCTCGCGCCTGCGCACACGTCCGCGCCTGCGCACACGTCCGCGCCTGCGCATTGGAGCATCCCTTCCCGCCAAAACCTGCGTCGCTGGACTGTTGCGGAGATGCGGTCCCTGGAGTCGGTGAAGTGTAGACGGGAGGAAGGGTGGCCGCCTCAGGAGGGAATGGACATGGAGGGAGTCTGCGGGGAGCAGCCTTTGAGTGGGCTCACCGTGATGGGGGACGGGCAGGAAATGGGGTAACCAGAGAGACGGGGAGCCCAGGAGCCTGGCAGAGCAGGGGGAAGGAACCAGGGCGGGGGCTAGGCACGCACTTGCCTTGTCTTGATGTAGGGAGATGAGTTTCCTTTCAAAATACTACACTGCAGAAACGGCTCACTATTTTGGACCTAAAAGTTAAAACTGAGAGTTATTCTTTTATTTATTTATTTTTCCAGTATACTGGGGTTTGAACTCAGGGCCTACACTTTGAGCCACTCGCCTTTCCTTTTTTGTGATGAGGTTTTTTTTTTCAAGATACGGCCTTGCAGACTGTTTGCCCGGGCTGGCTTTGAATTGCGATCGTCCTGATCGCTGCTAGGATCCTCCTGAGTAGCCAGGATTACAGGTGGGAGCCACCGGCACCCAGCATGAAATGAAAGTTATTCTTAAATTAATAGTTACACCCCTCCCAGGATGCCAGCCCCTCGGGGCTGCAAGGACCCTTGGCTCGGGGAGTTTCTGGGCCACTTGGTTGAGGGAGAAAAGCTGCCCTTTCGGGAGAAAGGGAGAAAGCAGAGATTGGGGAAGTGCCTTAGGGGAAGGATGTGCTTGCTCTCTGCTGCTGTGAGCCTCATGTGACCACTAAGCCCTCGAAAACGTGGCTGGTCCCAATTGGATGAGGGTACGACCCAGGATTCCAAGACTTAGTATGAAAAATGTCTATAAAATGCATCACTAATAGCGGTATACTGAGTGTATTTTTAAATGGCAGTGTTTTAGTTCCTTCCTTCCTGTTTTTGAGGCAATGTCTACACTGCCTCAGCTTACTACAGGTTTACTACCACCACCACACCCAGCCTGGTAATATTTTTGATATGTTGTGGAATCCTTTTTAATGTGCTGACCAGAAAACTTAAAATTACATCTGTGGTTCACTTGTTATTGCTATTGGACCATGCTGATTTATACCAAATTTAAAATAAATGTGTTTATTTTATCAAATTCAGAAGCCACATCGTTGCTATAACATTTTATCAATGTTGCAATCCTATAACAATTTCAACCTCTAATATCTTTGGAATCATAAAAACATAATACACATTTATGCATGTATTTTGGTTTATTCACAGCACAGTGATTCAAAACATTTCATGTCATAAGAACAAATTATGCAGGTTATTTGTTCCATTGATAATATTTTAAACAAGTTTCTTAGCTATAAAGAAGTTTTTAAGGTGCCTCATTTGAAAAATTCCAACTGAGATAAAGATTAATATTTGTGCAAAAGCCCACCATAAAACATTGCTGTTTGTATCTTCACTGGTCATTCGAAAAATTTCCTCACGGTCCTATGCAGAAGAGAAATAGAGGGGTTTAGTTTCTTGATGTACTTAGTGCCTGATTTTGAGGGGAAGCTTATTGTATGTGTTCAAGGTATTTAATATTGCCCAATTAGTATCTTATGCCAAAATGCATAAGAATCTGTTGTTTAACCATGTGTAAAACAGTAAAAACCAGCTTTGAAAACACATTTTTAAAGTTTGGTTTAAAATGTCAGGGGCTTAATCTATTACTTTATACATTTTATTTGCTACCATCAGGCAAAATGAACAGTAATCAGTAGTGATAGACTTTTCATCATTTAAGTCTGTCCTTTGTGCTGGGCACTATACTAAGCACCTACTTGCCTTACCTAATTATCAAACCTAGACTTATTTTTCAGAAAAAGAAACTGAGGTTTAGTGATGACACAAGGTCGGTTAGTGGTAGAACAGATGTGAGCCCATGTCTGACCAGCATCCACTGAGCTCAGTAACTTAGAAAACATTTGATGTCACAAGAACAAACTTGTGATCTAGAATGTGAACATGCTTGAACATCTAAAAATATATGGAGTACATTTGGAAGCATTCATTTATTCATTCTATGGGGTCACACCCTCTGCTGCTGTGTTCTTTACTAGGCAGGTATTGGAAATTAAAAGGAAAATTAACCAAAGAGCACTTTCCTAGAGGAGCTCATGGTCCATCAGAGAGACTGAAGAAGGATTGCTTTCTTCCCACTCCCTGCATATCCACACAGTTCTAACTTAGAAAGACTGCGGTATAGGTAGTTCATTCTTTCCTTGGTCCAGGGGTTGTGTTAAGAAATGTGTTCCTGGCAGGAAGAGATAAAACAAGCTGAATAGGCAGACTGACCCTTCGATAATTTTGTTCTTTGAGTATTTGCTGAATTTGTTCAATTAGATGTTCAAGCTTGAAGGTAACTTCATTAACTTTGTCCTTTGCTTGAGCAATTGCTGCATCAAGGTCATGTTCTCCAACCCGAACATCTAAGTGGATGCGCTGTACAAACAGTAAAAAGGAAGAAACCGTACGTTTTAAAAATAGCTCCAGTCTTTCTGCTTGCATTCTCTCTCTTTGTGTCCTTCCCTTCCCCCTCTCTCTTCCTTCTTTCCTATCCCTTTTTCATGAGTGAGGTACCACTTCTCCCTTTTTTTCCCCCACTGGTATTCTGTTCTCTATTTTATGCAGTATTTCTTTTGTAATAACAGTGATTAAATGGTAACCCATTGCTTTGAAAGTATTACGCCTTCCTGACATCGAATTTACTATTAGGTAAATGCTTTTGGTGCTGAGAAAATTTGGTTAATGTTCTCAGGAAATATTTTTTTACAGATAGCTGGATTTCATAGGCCAAAGTACAAATTCTCTTTCTCTGTTCTCAGTACATGTAGAAAACAGCCAACCACCATTTACTGTGTAAGAGTTTTATTTATTAGAATTCCATTATTAATTCCCCCTTCAGCCTTCACTTGTTTTCAAGCCTGAATAATCACAGTTCTTTTAACCTCCCTTCACAACTCTTTTTTTCTCAAACCCTTTTATCAGCTTCATGGCTCTCCTTTGAACGCCTTCCAAGCTCTCCAGCTCCCTCTTTGGTTGTTGCACTGAGATCTGAGCACAGGACTTTAATAAGTTTCTAGCCAGTCTGAGTGTGATGGTTCTGCATACCAATGTCATGCTTGAATAGTGACGCTGTGTTCATCAACAAGGACACAGGAGGCATGTACTCACCAGCTTACTCCCTCCAAATGACATAAGCCTTGTGGAATTAGATTGTAAGCAAATGATGTGTTCGCCAGGTGAATGCGAAGTAAAATGGAATGTTCCTTCTGCACCATATAATTTTGATAACAATATCTGTGGTTGAAGATTTCAACAGTTAAGTTTATTATTCTCTATTGTCCGTTCTTAAGAATAAATCTCCCTATTTAAATCTTCTTCCCAAAGAAGAAATCAAATGGCTAATAAGCATGAAAAATATTCAGCCTTGCAAGTAATAAAATATTCAAACTAACTACAGTAAGACATCACTTGTTCATTAAAATGTACTTGGCTAGTATGGAGAAATAAACACTAAGTACTGTTGAAGGACATGTAAATTGAACAGCCATTTTGGAGAGCAGTTAGGGTATATGTATTAAAATTTAAAATGGAGCCAGGCATGGTAGTGCATACCTATAATTCAGCATGCAGGAGGCAGCAAGAGGATTGTGAGTTTAATGCTGCCTCAACTAAATAGTTTGAGGACAGCCTGAACTACATAGTGAAAGCCTGTCTTGAAAAACCAAAACCAAAACCAAACCACATACATACAAAAGAATCCCTGTAATATATATATATATAAAATGTGTGTATACATATACACATTATATATATATACATTATATACATATATATATATACATTATATATATTATAATCACTGTCTCAGCAAGTCTACCTATAGAAACTTATTCTACAGAAATTCACAAATAGACAAAGTTATGTAACAGGATGTTCACTGTGATGTTATTTGTAACAGGAAGATTGTATTTTTGAAGTAACTTTAGTACTTTTCAGTAGGGGATTGATTAAGTAAGTTTAGAGAAAGCCAACTAAAGGAACACTAACCTGTATCTATACTAAAGGTGTCCATGATATTTTATAGTAGAGAAGTCTGTATACAATGCTATTTTCATAAAAACTATTGTTTGTAAGAGAGTACCTACTGTTTCTGTATGCTTAGAAAAAGATTCCAAAGAACTCTCATCAAGTTGTTAGTAGTGGTTATGTTTGTTAGAGAACTTTAATTTTCTGTTTAATATAATTTATGTTGTTTGAAATTATAAAAACAGATGTTCTAGTGCTTCTGGTCTGGGTTATAAGGAGCTTGGAAGTTGTCATTCTATCCTAACAACAAAAAAATGCTGAACAAACTGAATATCAACAATGCTTCTTAGATATGTTTGACAATTGAGGTAGCAGATAATGGCACAAAAACAGACATGAAGACCAATGGAATAGAATAGAAATAAATAAACTCAGTTATACCACCTGATTTTCAACAAAGGTGTCAAAAACAGATGGAGTAAAGACAAGCTTTTCAACCATTGGGACTGGGAAAACTGGATAGCCTCATGTAGAAGACTAAAAATTAGATCCCTATCTCTCATCTTATATAAAAATCAACTCCAAATGGGTCAAATACCTTAATGTAGGACCTGAAAATTTGAAACTTCTAGAGAAAAGTATAGAGGAAGCACTTTAAGATGCAGGAGTAGGCAATGACTTTCTGAATAGGACTCTGATAGGTCAGGAAATAATAGCAAAAATTGACAAATGTGATTACATCAAATTAAAAAGCTTCTCATAGCAAACAGTTATCAGAGTACCTACAGAAAAGGAGAAAATATTTGCCAGTTATTCATCTGATAGGCAATTAATATCCAGAATATATAAAGAAATAAAAAATTACATAGTAAAAGAACAAATGATACAGTTAATAAGTGGACAAATGAATTGAGCAGACAGTTCTTAAAGAAGTACAAATGGCCAATAAATTCATGAAGAAATATTCAGCATCTTTAGCCATCAGGGAAATGCAAATCAAAACGACATTCTATCCATCTCTTGACAGAGTGGCTGTCATCAAGAAAACAAACAACAATTACTGGTAAGGATGGAGATGGGAACACTTATACACTATTGGCAGGAATGTAAATTAGTGCAGCCACTACAGAAATCAGTATGAATTTTCCTCAAAAAGCTGAAAAGTAGAACTATTGTTTGTTCTAGCTATACCACTCTTTCGGCTCCAAAGGAATCAAAGTCAGCAAACAAAGATACCTGCACATCTATGTTCATTGCAGCACTACTCACAATAGGCACGTTAAGGAACAAGCCTAGGTGTCCATCAACAGATGAATGTAAAGAAAATGGTATATATGCACAATGAGTTTTATTCTTCAATAAAAAAGAATGACACTATGTCATTTGCAGGAAAATGGATGGAACTGGAGATCATCATATTAAGCAAAATAAGTCAGATTTAGAAAGACAAACATCACATGTTTTCTCTATGTGAGATCTAGATTGTTTTTTAAAGACATGAAAGTAGAATTATTTGGAAAGAGGAAGGGGACCAGCAGGAGAAGAAGGGGGAACAAGAGAGGATAATGGGGTAAATGTAGTCAAAGTATGTTATATACACTATGAGATGCCATAATGAAGCCCATTATTTTGTATAGTTAATATACTCTTAAAAAAAACAAATGGAATACAAAAATCTCTGGGAGAGACAGCACTGGGTTCCTTGTATGGTAACGTGTCTGTATTTCATCTAAAAATTACAGGGCATACTTAAAGGCAGAAAACACAGTTTCAAGAGATAGCATGCATCAGAACCAGATACAGATATGGCAGGGATGTTGGAATCGTCAGGTCAGAAATTTTTAAAAGCTGGTAAATATGCTAAAGACTAATGGAAAAAGTAGACAGCATGCAAGAAAAATGGGTAATTAAGGGAGAAATTGAAATTATAAGAAAATAAAAATGACAGTGGTAAAAAATACCATAAAAGAAATCAAGCATGCTTTTGATGGATTCATTAGTAGATTGGACACCACTAAGACTCTGAGCTTGAGGATAGGTCAATAGAAACTGGAAAACTCAAAAAGTAAAAAGAAAAAGAGCAGGAAAAAATGGACAGACTATCCAAAATCTGTGGGACAACTCCAAAAGTGTAACTTACGTATTATGGGAATATCAGAAGGAAAGAAAGGAAAAGAAGAAGTATTTGAAGCAGTACCTAGGGCCTCATGTTCACTAGGCAGGTGCTCCACCACTCTGAGCTCACTTCTTGAAAGATACAATCTACTAAAATTCATGCAAGAAGAAAAATAATATTAATAGGCCCATAATCTACTAAAGAAATTAAATCAAGATGAATAACATTCCAAAACAGCATCAGCCCATACGAGTTCACTGGTGAATTCTACAAAACACTTAAGGAAGAAATTGTGCTCGTTCTGTACAACCTCTGTCAAAAGAGAAGCAGAAAGAATGCCTCCTAATTCTCCTAATAAATGCGTTTGTTCTTTTGTTGTTTTCATTTGTTTTGAGATAGTGTCTCCCTATGTTATCTAGGCTGGCCTCAAGCTCCTGAGCTCCAGTGGGTAATCCTCCAGTGTTAGCCCCCAAGACCTAGGACTGTAGGTGTACACCACTGTGCCCAGCTCCTAATTTATTTTAGAGGCCGGTTTCAGTGATTTTTCCCTTTTATTTTCTGTTTGTAATTTATGCTCTATTTTCTATTATTTCTTCTGTTTTCGTTGCATTTAATTTGTTCTTTTTCTAGTTTCCTAGAAAACTTGAATTGTTGACTTTAAGTATTCTTGTCTGATATATGTATTCAGTGTTTTGCATTTCCTTCTAATTACTACTTTTCCACAAATTTTAATAAGTTGTATTTTCATTTGTCAAAACCAGATGATGCTATAAGAAAAGAAAGCTACAGAAGGTCATCTCTCATGAGTATGCATGCAAAACAAAAAAACCCTTAGCAAAACAGCAAATCACATCCAACAGTGTATAAAAAGGGTTGTACACCATGGCCAAGTGTGATTTGCTACAGACATACAAGGTTACACCAGCATTCAAACATCAATTAATAATAATCCTTGGGGACATGCCTGTAATCCAAGCTACTTGGGAAGCAGAGACAGAAGGGTCATGGTTCAAGGCCAGCTCAGGCAAAAAGTTAATTAGACCCTATCCTAAAGAACAAGCTGGTCACAGTGGTTTACATCTGCAATCCCAACTATGCAGGAGGCAGAGGTAGGAGGATTATAGTTCAAGGCCAGTCCTAGGCAAAAGCATGAGACTATCCAAAAAAATAACTAAAGCAAAGAGCATGGGTGAAATGGTAGAGTGCTTGCTGAACAAATGTAAGGCCCTGAGTTCAAACCCCCCATGGCTGCCAAAAAAAAATCCATCACATCAGTAGGTTAAAGAAGAAAAATCACATTTATTATATCGATGCAAACAAGGCTTTTGACAAGATATAATGCCCATTAATGGTAAGAAGAAATAAAGGAAAAACTTACATTGATTTAATAAACCATATCTACAGAACCTATATAACCAACATATTTAATGGTGATAACATAAAAGCCCTTCCCACTAAAATTAGGAAGGAGGTGAGCTATCACCTCTCATTATCACTGCCTCTTAGATTGTACTGGAAGCTTTAGCCAATGCAATCAGAAGAGGAAATAAAAGACAAACCAATTGTGAAGGAAGAAATAAGTCTTTGTACATAGATGATATGATTGTCTATGTATAAAATCTAAAAGAATTGTCAAACTGATGGGCCTAATAAACAATTATAGCAAGTTTAAAGGATTTAAGATTAATATGTGAGAGTGAATTGCCTTTCTATATATGGATAATGAACAAGTGGAATGTGAAATCAAGAACACAGTACCATTTACATTAGCACCCTCTCAATTATTAAATATTTATAAACCTAACAAAATGTGTACAAGATCAATGTGAGAAAACCTACAAAACTGATGAATGAAATCAAAGAACTACATAAATGGAGCTGGGCACTGTGGCTCACACTTGTAATCCTAGCTACTCAGGAGGCAGAGGTCAGGAAGATTGTGGTTCAAAGCTAGCCCCAACAAATATTTTGTGAGACCCTATCTTGAAAATACCCAACACAACAAAGAGCTGGCAGAGAGGCTCAAGTGGTAGAGCACATGCCTAGCAATCATGAAGCCCTGAGTTCAAACTCCAGTACCAAAAAAATAAAACAGCAATAACAAAAAACCCTAAGTAAATGGAGGAGAGGAGTCCATGTTCATAGGTAGGAA